ATTAGAAAAAGACAAAGATCCGCTACAACGTAATATGGGACATGGAGGAAATCATCAATATGCTACCTGAGTTTCGAGGAAAACTGAAAGATGAGCAATCGTGACCTTTACAAGGAAGGCATTTGAAATTCACGCTCATAATGGATAATGGACTAAGAGTATCAGGTGGCATAGAAAGCATTTTTATGCGTCAGTGTTTCTCCTAGGAAGAGACTCTGGTCTTCCCAAATTATGAAGCTCTGTGCCTAGAAAACCTAGTTCTTAGAAGAGAGAGGAAGCCTCCCACCCTTTTTGCCTTCACCCCTTACACTGGCCTTCAGATTCAGCTAGAAAACATGGAGAAATAATTTTCTGAACCCCTGGAGTTTATCCGTCATTTCCTTTCTGCTTCCTTTGACCCCAAGTTTATTCTGCTTATTGCTCAAAAGAAGAATAATGGGAAAAAACCCATAAGTTAGAGTCAAATAGATCTCTCCTTAAATATGGGCTCCATCTCTCACTGTGTGACCCCAGGGAAGTTTCTTATCCTGTCTGAGTCTCAGCTTCCTCATCTGTAAATTAGTACGACAATAACTACTGCGTATAGTTATAAAAATTAGATAGTATGTGGGACTGGCCCCATGGCTGAGTGGTTAAGTTCACCTGCTCCACTTCGGTGGCCCAGGGTTCCCCTCGTTTGGATTCTGGGTGTGGACATGGCACTGCTCATTAGGCCATGCTGATGTGGCGTCTCACATGCCACAGCCAAAAGGTTCCACAACTAAAATATACAACTATGTACTGGGGGGATTGGGGGAGAAAAAGCAGGAAAAAAAAAGAAGAAGTTGGCAACGGTTGTTAGCTCAGTTGCCAAGCTTTTAAAAAAAAAAAAATTAGATAGCATGCATATAGTAAATGCCTGGCCCGAAGCAGACAGCTAATGAACGTGAATCCCATTTGCTTCTCCAGCAGAGGCAGTAGATTTGATAACCCAGAAGGCTACTAAGTGACTGAGGGGCAACTATATACAGTGTGGCTGCCCGGGACAAAGGGATGATTCCTGTCCTGGGCAGGGTGGAGTGGGATGGCTAGAGAC